GTGCAAACACAGCTTAAAGCGCATCTCACTCTTCTAAATTCACAACAAATTAAAACTCAATAAGGAATCCAGGAAAAGATTATTCCGCAACAGATTAACAGCAAATGTCAAACCTTGCCAAATTCTTGATTTAAGGATTGCCTGACAATTGTTGCCTGTTGTATTAGCCTTTCCACTGCTGAATATCTCGGTAGGTTAGCATGTGCTGCGACCATGAGCCACATGATAAGAGAAAAATGATTAACAACGAAGTTTCAGAGACCACATTCAGCATCATGGTAATGAAGGGAGAATATGAGGAAAATAGGCAAATATTATTATCAATTCCTATAATTATAAGAATCATATACCAAGAATTTCCCTGTTTAAATTGTCAGAAACTCGCTGTCTGTACTCCGAGCTTAAAAGATGAAACATGGGTGATTTTTCTGGTTCCTCAAAAGCTAGCAGAGACATGAAATCCTGCAGGAAAAAATTATTTTTCCATCATTTGATGAAAAAATAAACCTATATTAGAAAGCCCAAGTTAACTTTTGTAGGGACCGAACAAAATTTTCAATATAATTTCACCAGAGAAGGAATATACTTCAATCTTTTCATCATATTTCCGCATCTTCCCAAAGGGAGTCAACTTCATTTGAGCAAATCCCAGAGCTTCTGTGCTGCCATGGTAAAAGAAATTTAAAAATTGAACTTCATTACGAATTTCTCAATATTACCTACTCACCATTTCCTCGAGCAGATGAGTTCAGTGAAATGAAGGCTCAAAAGATCAAAATGTAAATCCTTATTATTTTCTAACAAGTCGGGAGCGAATTCTTCAGTCAATTCAATGGCCTTCAATACATCCCCATCTAGTGCAAAAGGGAAAATTCCTGAAAGTTAATGGAAATATTGTTACTGTGCATAAGAAAAGAATAATATTAGCAGTTAAATGAATAAAAGAAATCTCCTGCCCCAGTCTTACATAGCATATAAAGACCAGTGTGGAGAACAAAAAGTTCCACTATTCTAATATTGTCAAATTAAGGAAACAATATATTGATTCAGAAGAAAACCCTATTGACAAGTATATAATTGTAACACAACAATGTTCACTTAAATGTTGTTCAAAGTATCTTAAACATTATTAACTTGGTGCTTAATTATTGTGTTCAACAAATTGTTTACATCAAGCAATATTATGTAATCATCATGTCTACGAACCGTACAAAACTTCTGGCCTTTTATATAGCATGACTTATAATCTATTCTCAGTATGTTTACCACACAAACAAAGCTTATTGTTATATGTTGGCAAGCTGCACAAAGCATTACAAAGAGACATTCAACACTTCAGGCACTTTTCAAGCTGTGTAAAATATAGAATTCAATAGCAATTTTGTTATCAAATAAAAACAAGTAAAAATAGAGTTCCATTATTTATCCTTGAGGACAACTAGGATTCCTTTCCCATTTTCAATAACTCAAATTACAATTACATTTCTTCTGCCCCTTCCACATGTACTTATCGATCTTTGGAACTGTCAAAATTATATCCTCTAGACATTTATCATCCACGAATTCTCCTTTCAATGTTTCTTGATAGTATTAATGCATACTAGTCTAAAACACATTACCCTTGTTAACGAAGCCCCTATAGGCCCCCATTTCTTAAAACTTATTTTTCTCCAAACTCATTTTCAATCACACATTTCATAAGATC